GCTAGAGGATCAGGGACATGATAAAGTAGACAATGTCGTTTTGAGGCACCTTAGTAGAGAAGATGACACTGTGGGTTAAATGCATCTGTGGCTTCCTCAAGATGAAGTAGATTTTGCAGGTTTTGCTATCGCTTTGCCACTTCATTCCCCCAAGCTGTCCATAACCACTGCGATATAATCATCCAGATCCTTGTCATAATGTTGAACAATTAGGGCTCACAGTCTTGTTTATATGTAGGTTCTGTATAAAGCTAACCTCTTAAGTTATGACAGTATGTTACAGATAGTATTAATTTCCATTTATTTTTATTTAGCAGGTCATTTTGCCCAAAGTGACATATTCAGAAGATCCCCAACAAGCTGATGGCGCACATCCCATTTACTCATGGTGAAATCTGACTCAGGGTGACCTTTAAAGGCGATGATGCACTAAGAAACACTTTAAACATGTTATCTCATGCTGTGCATGTGCCACTTCCAGTAGCAACCTTATCTGATTGGGTCTGTAGTATCTGTGAGGCACTACTCCTTCAGCCTACTCATTAATTGAGAGGCTATAACTCATAGGATTGGCTCTTATGGGAATAGGCTGACTATGGCCAATAGACCAAGAGAAAGACCAAATTCTTAATGTCAGAGTTTTAAGGAGCCATCATCCACAGCTAATAATGGTCTAGGTAGTAATGACCTCAAGTTATCTGGGGCTCCATTAGTTGGAGAGTTCATAGCATTACTTGTCTGTGGCTTGTGTAAATCTATCCAACTTTCAATACCATGACGAGAACTGGTGACAAATGCGGTCGACTCTCCAAATTCATTAGCATTTCTCATTTGCTGGAGAATGTTTATGAGTCACATATCATGATAATGTTTCTGAAAATCATAGTGTGTGCTCATAATAAACCAAGCCAAGATTTAACATGGGAAAAAAAGGCTTCCGTAAAACTGTTGCCCAGTAACACATTGAACTTATAACAACATAGTGTTGGCTTTCTGTTCTGTTTTCTGTTCTTAAAAATACACCATAAGTAGACCCAAGATGATATTGCGTCCAGCCAGTTTATTGCAAAGGTTTTTTGATCTCTTACTTTTTGGCAACTTTGCAATTAAATGCAGAACAGAGTTATGATGTTCAAAAAGGTAAACCCAGATGTTCACCGCAGACCTCTGCATGATTAACATTCAGAAATTATCTGCTCTCTAAATGACGTTATCTGCCTCAGTATCGTAAAACCATGCGAAACCGACCAAAAATATGTATAGTTTGAATGAGTTCAAACAAATATTAAAGTTGAAAAATTTCCCATCTGCTCCAAAAACAGCAAACAAGAACAAGGTATTTAATTTTTTCTGGCAAAAGGTGGCATACTTGTACAATGACTAAGCTTCAGTTGCCAGGGGAACGAGGGACCAAATAATAACTATTATGCTATTAAAGATCATAGATACTAATGTATTTATTAAAACAAAATCACTCTACAACTCAATGTGTTTCCCCTTCATGGAGTTGCTGCAATATTGCACTGCAAAGTGGCTTCCCATACAAGAGTGATGTCAGGACACCATGAGTATAAAAGTGGTTTTATCTCCTAGGTTGGTTCCTAGGTGTGCATTTGGGCTAGCCTCAGTAATCTATATGCTACTTTAGTACCTATGGTCTATAAAATGATACAATGCACTATAAAATATCCCAGTCACCATGGGAACCAGAAAATCTATATCCAATAACATTTTCTTTTGCTCTCTTCAAAAAAGTTTGTTGGATGACGAAGTTTTAAAATTGTCAATGAGATGAAAATCATAATAAGGTTAACCTTATTTACATATGGTATATACTCTCTCTCTCTCTCTCTATATATATATATATATATACATATATATATATATATGGAACATGTTATTATACTTTTATATACACTGTAAATTTGGTAGAAGAAACACTTCAGCTCTGAAATATCCTCTCTTACCCAGCAAAATATCCTATGATTAGCCAGAGAATGAAATGTCAAACTTAAGTTTTCAACATGGACCAAATGAAAAACTATGAATTTTGTACTTGATGACTGAATCCGTGACCTGCTGCCTATTATGGCATGTGACTCTGTCAGCAGCAGCCAAGTGTTATAAAAATATTGCCTTATAAGGTTGGCCCACTCATTTCATCAGAGGGGATACTTGGTGCAACAGGTGGTCCCTTTGGCTGTGCTGCCCTCTAGAGGACAAATAAATAATACATGAATATGGGCATTGATAACGCCACAATTTCTCAAAGAAATAGTTTGAGGAAAATGCATATAGATTAGATTGAAAATTGCAAACCAAGTTAAACCTCTGCTAGTGATATTGTAATTTTATATGCAGTGTATACAGTTTGTTTTGCATCTAATAGAAGCAATGATTCTAAGTTGATCTAAATCGACTTAATGTTTGGTCAAATGTTGCAGAAAAGCAAAGTGCGTCAGGTGGCATGAAAAGTCTATTATCATCCCGGTCTAGCAATAAAGGCTGTACTGAAAACAGGACCACAACATTATTTTATTCAGTCACATTAACCCACATAAATACATGCACCGTAGATATAAACATATTCTACGAACATGGGTGTAACCTATGACTTCATTTTAGCTAGCAGCAGTGTTACTGCAGACAGGTAGGATTAAAAGTTTGCATTCCATTAACATGACTTTTAACAGGCTATGGCATTAATTTGAAGAGATTTACCCTGATACAAGTCTGACTCCATCAACTGGATCCTCTCTCTGGGAGACGATTGCTTTGATCTAACATTTGCTCATCCTGTGGTCAATACATCCGTGCATGAAGGATTTTTGCATTATTAGAGATCAGAGGTTGCAGGCTTCCACTGGGCTCAGTAATGAAACTCAAAGTTCCTGAATAGAGATGCTGTCCGTGAACTCAGGTTTGAGTCTCCTTATCCTGATGGGCAATTCAAAGGCAATGGAACTCTGCTCAACATCCACAGCTGTGTGTGTCCCTACCCGCCGACAGCGCAATGGTTTGTGCCACGGCACATTGATGGGTGAAGCTTTTAGCCCAAATGCTCTACAGCTGAGCCTGATGCAGGAATGAATTCTAAATAAAGAACAATGTAGGCTTGCAACAATTCCTCCCTTGTTAATGCTTTGTGATGAAGGAAAACGTTTAGCGTGTATATAAGGAATTTTGCATTATTATACAAAGCATTTTAAATTAGCATACTAAGCCAGTTGGCCTTGGACCCTCAGTGGTTTTTGTCTCCCTGCTTGCATATTGTCTTCTTTCTTTCATTCTTTCATTCCTTTTCTCCTGTCACAAGTATTATTCTGCAAAAATGGTGTAGTAATGTAGTATCGCACGACCATGTCAGGCGTCTTAGGACAACTGTGCTGTGAAAGGCATTATATAAAAATGTATTGAACTGAATATTGCAGCCTGCAACCCTGACTAGCATACAAGGTTGGAAGATGGACGAATAGATAGATTTCCTATTGCTGGACACAGTGCAGCAGAGCTAAGAAGTCAAGCTAAGTCTGACAGGTTTCATTCACGAAGTCCTGCCAAGAGGTAATTATTGAGAAAATGTCCTGCCTGCCCCTGAGCTCACCAGGACTGTGGGTGACAGCTGTTCAGCCCTCCTCAACCTGAAATAACCATTCCCGTCATCCGCAGACTCACAAACATCCTGTCCTTGCACGGCACAGCGTCGACCAAAGGGAAAACGACGCAGGAAATCAGTGGGACTCCATAACACAGATGCTATAATTCACGGCCCTTCCTCTTAATGCCTTCAGTTTTAAAAAAAGTTCACCTCCTGCTTCTTTGACTCAAAGTAAAGTTTTTATTATTTGCAGTCTGTGTAATTGCAGATAAGTGCCCTTAGAGGGAGCAATTCATCAAGATTACGATAAATTCATCCACATAGTCACATACTACATAGCCACATATGACATAGCCAGGTATTACTACTACTAGTGAAACATCAGACCTCTATAAGTAGGAAACTTGACTACTGAATATCTCAGAAAGCATTTACAGATCCTGCAATGTGCTTTAAACAGAATGTAGTAATGAAGCCACCAGATTTTATCCTACTGCTAAGTACTGATTTTGCTCTGACCCTATTGTTGAAGCGCTTCTTCTTTAATACAAATCCTGCATTCATATCATTAACCGAGACAGCATTTTGGGAAATGTACATTCAGCTACTTGGCAGTGGCCCTCAGTCATCAAAGACAATCAAAACTTCCGGGATCCCTTATAAACTCTTATAAAAGAGGATAACGATAAGCAAAAAAAGACCAAGAATTCTGCCGTGCTACACACGAGTTTTGTGAGGGACGTTTAACTAACCATTAAAGTAAGAGGAAGCACTCTGAACACATAAATATTCACAATGCTTGGCAGGAGCTTGCTTTCATTATTGGAAAGTAATTAGAAATTCGAGTGAGAGGTTCTTTTTACATGCACACTAACACAAAACAGCCCTCTGAGGAGCAGGAGAACCCCTTTGGGTGGCGAGAGCTTCAAACCCAAGGTCCTTATCTATGCAGCACCTAATTTATTATGTGTTTTGTGCATATAGCTTGTTCTACTGGATCCTGCACAAGCAAGAAGCAGAAGAAGAAATATTCCATCAGAACAAGCGAGTATTATGCTTTATCCTGCTATTGAACTAATACAGCAGTTTGCCGCTGACCACAGGAGAGATTATATCGACACGGTCAATGGGAGCTGAATCTCAACGCGATCGGCTTGGTTGCCAGGGTGCCACTTTGAGAGGTGCTGTGTGCGGGGAGGGGGGGGGAGTCCCGCGAGAGCACTTCACAGGACCCCTGAGGGCACCCGGGGGGGGGGGGGGGTCCTTGCCAAGGCGAGACGGTGTTTCTGCTACCTTGGTAACAAAAGAGGGCTGTTCATTGCAACCTAAACAAGGGAAGTCCAAGGAATGGGGGGGGCGAGGCAATGATATGAAGGTGGGAGGGGGAGATCGAGCGAGGAAGAGAGAGAGAGAGAGAAAGAGAGGGAGGGAGGTGGGAGAGAGAGCTGCTTTAGTTTCAGAGAAGGAGCACTTTCGCCTCCTTTAACTTGACTGAGTGAGTGAGTGAGTGCGTGCACACGCTTCCAGGAGGAGCAAGTCAAAGAGCGAGGGGGACGGGTTCAACCAGGTCGGAATACAGACACGCTCAAGGGGGGGGGGACAAGTGGCAGCAGGCATGTGGAGCAGGCCGGGGAAGCGAGAGATTACCAGTCCGTTCCCAGAGCGCCAAGCGTGGGATCCACGAGACCCCAAGGCCGGATGGCAGCTGCACCCGATGGCGGCGTCCATCCGCTGAGGGGCCAGGGGTACGGCAGAGGTGGGGGCCGCGGCGGCGGGGGCCATGCGGCCTCTCCGGAGGAGCTGCCTCCTCAGGTGGCTGGGACTGAAGATCTGCAGGAGGACCACCGTGCTCTTCGCTCTCTTCTGGTTCATGTTCTGGGCGCTGCTCAACAGCCTGGCGTTTGTGCACAGGAGCATCTTCTCCGACTTCTGCACAGATGAAAAGAGCAAGCAGATCCTCCAGAGGGTGGTAGGTCTCCCCGGCCGTTTCCCACATGGCTACTCGAACTCAGAAGAAACAAAACACAAACCAGCACATGACAGACGTAAACACGTCCTGCCACACACACATGTGGACACACAGCTATATTCTCACACAAACTCCCACACACAAAAAAGCACAACAATCCAACACCTCGAAGTCCAAATGTCTCCTGGGAAGCATACAAGAGGGTGTAATCTAAACTACTGGACTGACAGAATGAAGGACACGTGCCTAAGCTCCCGCTACATGATTAGAATTAACCTCAGTCACTATTCCAGTCATCCAAGTGCAGTGTTTAATAAAACTCTTTTTATTGTCCTAGCTGTTAGTGGGCGGTGAATTCCACAGGTAAAAAACTGACTCGGCAAGGGGGGAAAAAAGGCCGACGTAAATGACAAAATAAAATGCTGTGGTGCCATAAATTAAAGCTAATCTTTCCCAAAGCCTAACAATTGTACAGTTGCATTATGCGTTTCCCCTTTGCTAGTTTTATACGCCACCTGGATTGGATGAAATTGAGATTGCGGTTCTCGCATTCTTGACGACAATTATAATATTTCAGAGTATTATATTTGGAACCAAAACCATAAGTCTTTTGGCACACGAGTGCAGACAAGTAGGAAATTCCCCAGAGAATCGGTGCTGTACACGGCTCCGAAGAGCCCGCAGATACCAGTCAAAGGAGTAACGCGAAATTGCTTTCCATCCAAAAGAAAGTCCCAAGACAGTGAATAACGCCTCGAGAAAGAGAAACTTCCAAAATACCCGCAAAAAACCCTTCGGAAAATGTAGGACTAGAAGGTGATGACATGCTCTTTTGAACGTCCCATACTGTATGTACACTGATATATGGTAAAAATACATAAAATGAGTTACGGTATTTCACCAAAACTGCTTAATAAACAGACGAATGAGTATTGAATCTACTCTTCAGCTATTATCGTGAAATTGAGAAAATAAACGCATCAAAACAATTTCTCTCGTAGTTCAGGCGATCTTGTTTTTCAAAAAATATTACTTAATCACCTGTGAATAATTTGCATTTATTCCTGGAGCAGAAAAGCCCAGACACAAGAAACTACAAGCACACACTACCGGTTACTTTTTTAAGTGGAAAACTGGCACTGTTTAAAAGTGGTGCTGTCAGTAAATTTGAAACGTTAAAGTGCAAATCAAACACTGAAAGCATGCAGTCATGTCCTTCATGATACAGCACCGTTGGCGTTATTAGCCCGTATTTTGAACAATCAAATGGGAGCAGGATATTATTAGGATGACATAATGCACGCGTTTCATATTTATATAATATTTTATATTACTTAACATAACACAGATCTTGTGGATGCAAATAAATATTTACATCAATAAATATCTATATAACGTTTAATATTTATTGATTACAGGTTCCTTGTTTGACTGTTTTAAATGTTTCCCTTCGTTTTAATAACATTCGCGGCGAATGAAACAACAATCGATAGGCCTTTATTATATTGGGTTTATATGAAGTATATTTCTGTTTCCACTTGTACTGACATACCTTATTTTTGACACTTGTCGGCTTTCTGACACCTAAGATATCACCCTCCGAGTCATCAGTTTTCATGTGAAAATTCTCCTTATTAAACTTCAACCCCAAGCTGTTTTCTCCCCATTGTAATGCTCAAATGGAGCCAGCCAGCCAACTCTCAGCTTGCGATCCATTCAAAACGCAAAAATAAGCCTCGGGCCAAAAAGTAGTCTTTACAAAAATAAAAGCAGCTTAAAACAGGTAGCTGCCAATAACCGATGTTGTGTGGAAAACAAGGGCACCTGCCGCTACGGCTTCTGGGATGTGGTATGTGTGGGAGCGGGCGCGCAAAAGTGCACAACCAGCAGCAAAGGTCGCAATGGTGCAACAAAGGTGCTTAAAGCATTCATCTGCCCCTGTTGTAACTGTGGGCCCATCTGCCGTCCGCTCAGCTCACGCTGTTCCTTGTGGTTGGGCCCTGTTTCCCCTTGAGTTATGGCGTAATGTTAAAGTTTTTTTCTTTAACAACGTGTAATTTCTGTTGTATTGGTACAGATGTACTAGTATAACTGGATTTTGTAATGCACTCTCGTCGATGTGGAAATCCTGAATAATCATGTCAGATACATTCAGTTTTGTTGTATTTAATTATAAATGAGCTTATACATACATTACAGATTATACATACATTACAGTTATTTTGTTTATCGCAATATTATCCTGACATGTATACTGTTAAGGTTTCACTAGCAAAACTGAACCAAAAAGAAATGTTTTCACTGGCCCTGACATTTACTGGACAGTAATGGTTCTCAGTATGTGCCAAGCCGTGGGTATTCTGTAGAGCTCACAGCACAGTGTGTGAAAGTTTCCACAGAAACTCAGGCTAACATATACCAAATATGAGCTTAAGTGTAGTGCCCTTTAAGTATACTTTATAATACTGTTCCGTAGTTAACAGGTAAATATGCAGGAAGTAAGCAGCAACAAAGGAGTAGTGCTTCATTAACACCTAAATTGGTACTATTAACTACTAAGGAGTTATGATTAATTACTCAATAGGTAATAGTGAACTAATTATTATAGTAGTTTGCTATTACTTCATTAGGAACTATTGAGTATTGCTGGTCTCATTGGGAATTATGTACTAACTATGGATTATTTCTAATAACTACTAGCTCATTAATCATCAAAAGAACAGTGCTTTTTTTGGACAGGGACTTACAGGCTACTGTTCACAGTGGTTTTTGCCATTTTTTAACAGGCTTGTTTCTTCCTACTTGTTTGTATGACATACAACTTATTCTACAAAATATTACTGCCTAAAATATATATACAGTACCTACATTTTAATTATTTACCTCACTTCAGTCCATGTGCCAATGTTCTTCAAACTGTGCTTTGAAGTCCAACTGAAGGGATGGTCACACAGAGGCTCGTGTTTTGCCACATGATGTGCTCCACCACTATTGTTGATCTTTTCTAAACATTAAGAAATTAATGTATGCATTTTAAATAAGGAATGAAGTCTTACTAATGACCTAAATAAAACTAATTGTAACTCATTAGTAATGAATGTGGCGTTACTGACTTCTTCAATAGGAGTTACTAAAGAACAAGAACAGTATTATAAAGTGAAACACACTGTAACTCATTAGTAATGAATGTGGCGTTACTGACTTCTTCAATAGGAGTTACTAAAGAACAAGAACAGTATTATAAAGTGAAACACACTGTATCTCATTAGTAATGAATGTGGTGTTACTGAGTAAGCTATTTCTTTCAAACATTTACTGAGTTCTTTTTATGGGGTTAATAAGAACAATGAATGTTAACATATCTTATTTGTTTCACTTAAACATTCATGTTCATGACACAACAGCATAAGTTCATTTTAAACATTTAATTTGAAGCACATGTTATATTAACATCACAGCTTAATTTTTGAAATCAAATTTACATTGATTACACATCCATCCCATTAAAACTAGCACTGTTCATTTGATGAGTAATGAACTAGTAGTTATTAGAAATAATTCATAGTTAGTACATAATTCCCAATGAGACCAGCAATACTCAATAGTTCCTAATGAAGTAATAGCGAACTACTATAATAATTAGTTCACTATTACCTATTGAGTAATTAAGCATAATTCCTTAGTAGTTAATAGTACCATTTTAGGTGTTAATGAAGCACTACTCCTTTGTTGCTGCTTACTTCTTGCATATTTACCTGTTAACTACGGAACTATTATAAAGTGTTACCAAGTATATAAACAGCCAGCATGTGTACCTGAAAATGTCCAATGATCTTCCACCCTCTCATCTGGGTCGGTCAATGGAAGGCCTGCAGCCAATCCCAGGCAGCCTCTGGCAGGGGACGCTTTGGATGGGATGCCAGTCTATCACAGGGCACATGCACACATATACCAGAGAAAACCGTCACAACACAGGGAGAGGATGCAAACTCCATGCATACAGGGAAAAATGCAGGATTCAAACCCCTCACCCGGAATAAAACAGTGCAGCCCACTGAACTTCTATGGCTCCCTAGACAGACTCAGGTCAGGTCTGCATGCCTCAACATCTTAACTTCTCCATTCTCAGCATGCAGAAATGATTCGTAGTATCTGGGATTTGAATTGGCAACCCTTTTATAGCAAAGCCACTTATCCACCACCCTAACTAGCTAACTAGCAATGACCAGAATGATTTTTATAATTATATTTGTTAGTGATCAGATTACTTAGTAATTAGCGCTTTATCTACATTGACTACAGAAGAGTTCAGGGACAGAGCTCAAGGGACATGCAAGTGTTTTTGCTCGGTAGCTAGTTAGGGTGGTGGTTCAGTGACTTTGTGATCAGAAGGTCACTGGTTCAAATGCTCTCATTAGAAGAGTGATACCACCATCAGGCCCTTGAGCAAGGCCCATTACTCCAGGGGTGCTGGATGCTGGCTGACCCATTGCTATGACCTCCAAACTTTTAGGGTTTTATTCTGTGTTAAAGAAAGTGACTGAGAACAACAGCATCCAGCAAGTGAAATTGAAAAGAGGTATGCTTTCCAAGAAATCAACAATTACTAAATGACTAATTACTGAATGAATACTGTAATTTAAATTCTGTGAAACTCATAATCTGTTACGCCTTTCAATAAAATACACGTTTAAATTAATATAACCATTTCGTAATATATACTTTCAAGTTAATAATTATATGGGTTTACACCACAGCTATATGATTATCTGTTCGCCACCAGCTTTCTCTTTCTCATACTCTCTGTGACTCATACTTAACTGGTATGTTTTTGTTTGGTAATCACATGTTTGCGTTCGAGAGGAGTTCACCAAAGTATCACCAAGTGTACGCAGAACGACTTAAACGCCTCCGTCGTTCAGTCCAAACAGAATATTACAATGCTTTCCATTCAATAGCTACATTCCACAACTCAAATCAAGTCTAGTTCGCCGTGATGGGTAGCTTTAACTTGCAGTGTTTTTGTTCAATATGTGACATGATCCATAACTCTGATCCATAACTTTTAGCGGAATAAAACAAGAATGAAAACCATATATCTGTCGTCTAAGTAGCTGTCTGACACAAAGGGACCTTTCTGAATGGTGTATTTCTACACATGTTCGTTCATCCAGCGCTGTGGGAGACGTATAAAATCTCAGGCTGCTATTTGAGGACATTCCCTGCATTCCTTTGCTGACCAGTACTTGGCTTTATTTTTTATCTGACTGGTTCGGTCAATTGTTTCAATATTATCATAACACAGTCGACGAAGAATGCTTGTTTATTTGGTAATCACACAGGATTTTCGAAACAGCAGACATTTTGGTGTCCTCATTCTATAATTCAAAAGCCGCATGAAATACTTAAAGGGATTTTATAGTCAATTAGATTCACACACAGGGACTCTGCAGTATGTGATTTCTAACTTTGTGAGATGAGAAAAAAAATCACTCACAGCATCCTTTAAGACATTAATCTTCAATGCATCCCAGAGGAGAATGTTCAGATCATGGCTCAAGAGATGAATTTCTAGTTTGTAATTATTCTGGTAGTAAATAAACCCATTGTCCCTGTGCCAGGAATGTAAAGTATCTTTGCGGCTATGCTGTTTTTATTGTGATGTCATTTTAAAATAAATTTCACTGAATAGTATGAATGTATCTGTGCATATGGACTGGGGCCCAGTCTGCACAATGAGTTCTTTGATTCTGACTGAATACCACAGGCAATAAAAAAAAAACAGTCGATGTTTACTTTTTTTTTTTTAGCAAAACTACAAAACCGTCTAGTTAAGCAGATGAACTGGTCTGATACTCTGCCGATCAGATTTCACTGTCTCTTAGCTGGAGGGAAAATCAGCATAAATGTATGTTTATTTTGTAAAAGTACACAAAATATCGGCATTCATAAATACAGATGAATCACTTAAGGTAACAGACTCACTAATAGGTTAGATAAATAAGTGCCAATATGTATGACTAAGGACAGCATGAGGGATTGATGGGTAGCATTACCTCACCCCTCCACTGCTGGGGGCACCAATCCCACCTCCGCTCACGGTGGGTGCAGTTTGCATGTTCTTCCTGTGTCATGCAACAACAAACAAATAAGTGTATGTGTCAGTTTATGAGTGTGTGTGTGTGCGTGTGCATAGACGGCTTTCTGTAGTTTCAAAACCATGTTAGACATACACTCACTTCTCAGGCCTGACGCAATGATGCAAGACCAAGACATCTCTGTGAAATAAGAAGGATGTGAGATACATAAAATAATCAGGCAGGTTTCTGGTCTGAAATCTCACTGACTGCAAAGGAGAAGGAAATCCGACAAAACAGACACCATGGAAATTGAAACATGTCAAGGGTTTGTGGGAAAATGTAAATTATGGGGAGAGGTTCCAAAGGAACATAAGTCGCAGGTTATGCCAAAGCTGTAAATCTACAGCCGGCTGTTCGGACAGACAAATCACTGCATCTGGCTGGATCGGTATATATGAACAAGTCAGCAAACATTAAAAATCAAATTTAAAAAAGCACTGACTACAATTTGAAATCGGCAAAAATATCTGAAATATCATGGCTTAGAACAACACGTCATTCATGAATGCAAGAGGATGGGCAAAAAAAACACTAATACGTTTCATAAGTAAGGCTTAATGCACGACATGCTACGCATGTGGCTAAGGACCACCCTCCCGATCAATCAGATTCGAGTATTCATCAGTGCCATGGTATAAATGAGCGTAATGAAAGATAATCAGGAAGGCACCAAGTACCCGCAATGTGTAGATGTGATACAAAGCCATTAGCCTGTCAAACTGAATAAAAGGCCAACTCACCCTGACAGCTGTTTACGTTCGAAAGTAACTGAAGACGCTCCTAAATGCTTCAGCATTAAAGACACTCAGTCTGACCTCACAGCCTGTATCTTGGACCATATCTCAAGCCTGAGGTATGTCACCACTGAACTGTGAGCTGGATTTTCATAACATGGTACAGATTATAGTGGAGGACATTTGGCTAAAGAATGCTAACAGCTATACTGTAGCCACATTTCATTTTTCTTTCTGTGTAGCATATCTCATTGTACTTCCTGGAGAATAATATTTTGCTTTATTTAACATTTGTAATGTCAAAAGATCAACAAAGAAGTAGGTAGCAATGGGGAATACTGAAAAATACTCTGTGATCCCTTACTGTGATTGAGAAGTACTCCCAAAACAAACAGGGTTTATAAAGTACAATGAACAAATGTATTGTATAATTTAAATAATAGCTTGATTGTGGATGACAGCAGTTGGAGATGAGGGGTCAGGGAGAAGATATACCCAGCTGTTGGAGGGAGACAGCTGTGTCACAGCGCCGGACGGTGCCAACATGTGGATCCGTTCCCATCACACTTGCATGCTGGCCGCTTGGGTCCAGCTGATGATGTGTTACCTCAGGACCAGATGGCCCCGAGTGGGAAGCTGGAGGAAGGCAAAAAGAGACGTCCAATGAATTGATAAACATTATAAAGAAAAAGATATGAGTGTGACTGCAACCACATGGCTGAGAGAACCAAGAAGAATGACATAGACTAGCTAATAGGGGTAATATTTCAGCGTGAAGGTGACAGCACCGAATGCATCCAAACAGTTCAGTGATCTCAATCTGTACAATTAAGGAGGATTTCTGACCACTTTCTGCAAGTGCTGACAGTGACTCAGTGGGTGGCAATTTTCTCCGTATATTGTGCAGGTTTCCTCTCACAGTTCAAGAACGTGATTAGGCAAATTGGCATCTCAAAATTGCCCATAGTGTATGTATGCTATGTGATGAGCTGGCAGCCTATCCAGGGGGTTCCCATAGGCTGGGACCAATCAGTTTTCAGCTGCAGCTCATCACATAGCCCAACCCCTGTATATTCCCCTGTTTGATGATTTTCTAACCAAGGCTTACATTTTCTGTGGTTCTTGATTCCAGTGTGGTGAATATCGAGAGGGAGTCCTGACCGGGGACCTATGTGAGGACCTGTGTGTCAATGGGGGGGTGGAGTACAAGCGCTGCCTCTACTACGAGAACGGCAAGAAGGTGATGGAGGCCGAATGGCATGGCGTGCCTGTGGTGCTGAAGTCAAAGTTGGAAAACTTTACCTCCTATGAGGGCTTTGGCCCACTGGAGTACCAGGAGAGCACCGAGCTGTCACCCATGGATGTCGTCTTCTACGCAACACTGGAGATCAAGAACTCCATGGGGCTGGAGGTTAGGAGTACTGCAGTTCCCCGGCTGTGGAGCCAACAGATGAGCCAAGGAAGCCATCCCTACTCACGGGCTGAGCTGGCCTCCCTCTGGTCCCTCCTCCAGCAGGAGGAATACACCTTCTTCAAGGTCCTGCAAGACCTCAGCCAGCATGTGGTGAAGGTGCTGGGCTCCTGTGGACACTTTTATGCAGTGGAGTACCTCATAGCCGGCCACGCCTGGAACCAGAACCTGTTTGCACTGGAAGACCTCCTGAGCCTGCCCGAGGCAGAGGGTGACGACTTGACCAGTGAGCCGAGGAGTAAGAGAGAACGGGACATGGTGCATCAGATTGCTCTCAGCTTTCTGGAAATGGTCCGCCATTTTGAGAATGACTTCTCTCATCATCTCCACCTATGTGACATCAAGCCTGAGAATTTTGCTATCAGGAAAGACTTGACGGTAAGTCTTTAACCAAATACTTATTCCTGCTGTCTTCAGAGTTGGGTAATTCAGGTTCAGAGGAAAAAAAAGTCCAGACCAGGATTTTGTTTCAACCAACCAGTTGAGTACTCTGTGACTGTGACTCTTTATACTCAACTGGTTGGTTGAAACAAAATCCCAATCTGGACTTTGACTCTTTGGACCCGAATTACCCAGCTCTGAGTGTCTTACAAGTAAGGTTAAGCTAAATGGTATTACTTACACTATATGGCCAAAAGTATGGGGACACCAGCTTGTCTAACATTTCATTCCAAAATCAAAGCTATTAATATGAAGTTGCTTGGTTCATTTTTGTTGTAATACCTTCTACTCTTCTGGGAAGGCCTTCCCGTAGATGTTGGGGGATTGCTGGTGAGTTTTGCTGCCATTGAAGTTTGGTATGTTGGGTGATCAGGTCCCTTTCTGTGAGCTTGTGTAGCCAACCGCTTTGCAACTGAACTTGCTCCCAGACATCTTGTCCTTCACATAGAGCTGGGTCTGCTTTTACAGGGGCCCTTGGCAAAGCTTTGCTTGGGAGGCCCCCCTACCAAGAAAACTAATGATCATTTCACTTCTTCTGCAGCACAGGTAACTCGGGGGCCCGAGGCAACTGTCTATTCTATTGGAGCCAGCCAATAACAATATATAGGCCATATATAAATATTACATTTTTGTGTATATATATATATACACACACACACACACACACTCATGACTTTGTCTTGGCCTCCTTATGCTACAGTATTTGGGCCCTAGGCAGCTGCCCTTGCCTGAATCCATCTCTGTCTTCACATTCGCTTCCCTTGCAGTTGACTCGGTTAAATCTAGCAGGGCAGAAACGTGGCAAACTCACCTGTAGGGAAGATGGTGTCCCATGATGGTGCCAAATGTAAAACCCCTCACCTCTTCAGTACAACCGCCCGTTCTGCTGCTAATGTATGCTTAATCATACACTGGTGCCAGTCTTGAGGATGACTTAATTAGATGATTCCTCTGATTAGTAGAGATGCCCTCATACTTATAGCGTACCGACCATCTGTATAGCTAAGTGTGTATTCTAGGGCACAATCACTGCCTGGAGTACAAGAAAGAAAAATAAAGGTAACTAAAGACTAGGGGCAGAAATTATAATGATGTCATTGCATTTGAAAATTTAAGAAGTTAAAGGGAATAAATAATCAGGTTTAGTGAGTCAGCTTTAACTGAAGTAGAGCCAATGTATATAATACAAACAGCTCCAAGGGTTCTCAAAGAACTGCACAGTCTGTAATTTATGACATGAACCCTGAGGAAGGGGTGATTTAGAAAAAGCACAAAATCACATTGGGGAGAGCGATTTTCCGGATAAGAAGCTTTAATGCTTTAAGCATCATAGGAAACACTTTCCTAACGATGGAGCAGTAAGGGTCAGCAGCATAATTCAACAATGATGTCTGTTCCTTGACTTAAATTTCAGCATCATAAATACAGATCCACATAAAGCAGCCAAGCTGAGGTTGGAGTTGCGGTGGGGGGGAGTCTGTGCAGAACTGCCCACATGATTTGACACACAGAGAACTCCATTAAAATGGCTGCTTCACTTTTCGTCTGACAGCAGTAATCACTGACACTTGTGCTAACTTGAATTTTCCAAGCTCACTTGTTGGAATCTTCATATAAAAATAGATTTAAACTTTTGGTACAGTATTGCAAGTAGCTAAAAATGAGCCCAGTGTGGTGCAAAGAGACACATGATGGACAACGACCTGTAGGGGATCATTTAAAAAAAGTGACATTTTTATTTATTTACAAAGTGTTAGCTTAGTGTTAGTTTATAGGCGGTAGGAGTGAAAGGCCTCAGCATACTGGCCAAAGCACAGTCCATTTGCTGCAGGTTGCTGTAAGTATTTTTATGGTTTATGCATAATTGTGATGATAGTCTAATGGAGATTACTAAAATAATGTATAATTGAAGAGCAAATATCTAAACTCACTCAGTCCAAATGATACATATTCAAGATAATGTCTGGAAATTTAACAAGCGTGATGAGGAAGCCTGATTTTAGGTCGCTGGTGTCTCAAAAGCTCAAAAATAACAAAAAATTTACTCTTCAGTTAGGTTATAAAGAATCAGTCATAATGCAATGCATGTTAAGAGGCTCCATAAGTGGCCCCTAAATACGCACCACTTATAAGGTAATAAAGCCTGTCTCACACTTCCAGGGTTGGGAAATCCCACCTTCCCCTTGCGTGTGGGGTGTAAGTTTTCCCCATGTGCTGTGGGTTCTTCGGGGCATTCAGGTTTTGTAGTTTAAAGTCATGCAACTGGCATCTCTAAATTCGCCCATAGTGTATGACAGTGTATATGCACATGCCCACTACGATGGATTGGCACCCGCTCCGGACCATGTCCCAGTCATGTGCTTCCAAGAAGAGGCACCAAGCCCCTTCCTGACCCTCATGGATAAGCGGTCAGAAGATGGAATGCATGCATCCATAGGATGACTTCAAAGCAACTCACGACTATTACAATGATCCAGGAGATACTGTGGTCAAAACAGCAAAAATAAAACCTTCAGGAAATCAGAATTTTATCTCACAAATTAATCTTTGGATTCACCTCTCCTGGCAAATTGGACATTGCCTGCTAATTATGTGCAATGAGCATGATAGGCTTACTAATTAATTTATTCAAGAACATCACTTTTAATTGCATTCTATTTGACAAGCTAAAACTAATCAGCCACCATGTCGCAGCTATTTTAAGCCCCTTTGCCCGCTTTACTCTGCCCCAGTGATGCACTAATCACCCCACTTCCTTGTCTTTAAACAGGTTGTAGCCATCGATGTAGACATGGCGTTCTTCGAACCCAAAATGCGGGACATTCTGGAGCAGAACTGCACGCACGATGATGACTGTAACTTCTTTGACTGCATTTCCAAATGTGACCTCAGACAAAACAAATGTGGATCAAAACGCATAAACAGCAACCTACAGGTGCTTTATTTCTGCTGTTTTTTTATGATGGGGGCGAAAATCTGACATAAGAATAAACCAGACTATATTTCAATTTGACATTGCTTTGCTCAGTGGGTAGCACTGTTAGCGGTTAGCATCCAAGCTCCAGTCTAGTTGTGTGGAGTTTGCATGATTTTTTTGCGCATTTTGAGGCTTTTCTTGTGGTACTCCAGCCTCCTTATGCAGTCCAAAAAATTCAGCTAGCTAAACTGGCATGTCTAAATTGCACATTGTTTGTGTATGTGTGTGCTCTGAGATGGCATTCTGCCTTGTGACTTATGTTTCTTGGATTAGATTATAGGCTCACCACAACTGGTAGGATAGATGTATTCCAATGTGTTTTATATTTAAAACAGCAGCCCTGTTAAGACTGCAATGTACTACGCAATCAATTTCCACAGCACTGAAAAACTGCAAAACATTCGGTGAGTGACAGGTGCTGAATGATTTACAGTGGGTAGGTTTTGCTCTAGCCCAAACTAATGATGCAATTGTAGTTGTTGGCTGAAATCAGTGCTTTTGGTTGGCTAAAAAGTCCAAAGAAGCATACAGAAAAGCAGTTCCCTTGACAGGACGTCAAGTAGGACACCACAGGAAAACAAACAATTTCAGGCTTTACAAGAAAGAGAGAAAAGCTCTGAGACGCTGCCAAAGTTTGGTTTTTGGAGCAGAAAATGCCTGAGACTGAAGAGAAATGGAGAAAACAATTAAACAAATGCTGGTCGTTTCAATCTAAATTTAAAGTGCATCCGTCTCAAAACAAATCAATTAACCCCTATTTTGCTGCATCATTTTATCTGTACGTACCAGTTAATTTTAAGCAATATGACATGTTGTAAATGTTGAATGTTAGTCACCCATCCAGGTCTAGCTCACACCGATTGGCTGGGTTTAGTTAATCACGGAAGTTTCCAAAGAGGTGATTCATTGGCTGATCAGTCAGGGAAAACTGCATCATGGTTCCCATAGGTCCATTTTGGGCAAGTTTCACTAACATAACATGGAACATAATCCAGGAGATAAGAAGATCTATGGATGTCCCGCACGACGGTGATTTCCGGATAAGCCTGTGAATTCTTAGCGTGACCCCCATTGACCCCCAGTTCACCACAGCTCAGACACACGGTTACCCTCAGGGCAGGAAAAGGAAAAAAAAAAAAAAAAGAATGAAAGCAATTGCTTGAAGGGCAGCTTTGGACAACTGGGGACATGAGGAGAATGAAAAAAGCATCCTTGTCACATTCACACAGCAGATTCATATACCTTGATGCATTTTTTTGTCTGGATAAAGGACTTCAGATTCCTACATATAAAGAGAAATTTTTCTCTCCAGAAGCTTCACTCCACCGATCACCATGAAATGTCCTATACTGTATATCAAAAGGAAACTCTGCCTCATATATAATGTATATTCACTCCCTTATGGGGAACATTGTATATTAGAAGAGGAGTTGTGCTTTGTTATAAAGAAAAGTCTTCCCCTCTGATGCCACCAGGAAATACTTCTACCCCAGGAGATGAGAATTCCTCTGATTTTAACGTTAATACCTTCTCTGTGCAATCTTGTATTCTGTCAGGCAATGACTTTTTAAGCAAGCAACCTTCTAGAACTGTCCTCCATCATGATTATCTAAGTGAATCACATGCCTCACCTTTGAATGTTTCATAATAATCGGTATTCCTTTGGTGTTACTCTGCTGCTAAAAGATAAATTGTAGCATATTTAATAATGAGACTAGTAGCCAGTGTCAGCACAACAAATCTTATAGGTGGGGGGGGCCATCTGAAAGCCATGTGACACGAAATCATAGGAATTACACTGTAATTTTTAAAATGTATTATTGCATAAGAAAGTAATTCCTGCAGTATAAATCCAATTAGTCGGTCTGCTTCCCGTTTCCCAGGTGATCTGTGACAAGATTTTCAGGCGCTGGTTCTCCCCGACGCTGATGGGTGAGAGGGCAGGGCTCCCCCTGCAGGTGGAACTACAGCATGCCGTGCAGGAGTGTGTGGAGACCGCGGGGGGAGAGGATGCAACACGGAGACAGGCCGTCATGCTCCGCCTCTCCTCCGTGCTCAGCCGGCTCCTCCGGGATGGATCTACACAAAGACGGAGCCACTAATTCCACACTGACCTTTTCATGTCACCTGACTCATGGTTTTGTTTTTTTTTTTTTACCGAAATCTAGTAATATGAATACTTCATTAACAAACTTTTAATTAGACTGCTCAGAGCCATCAAGATTGACAGTATGCACTTTTTACAGCAACATCTGCTTTGTAATTATGTAGAATAAGAAATTAAGATTTAAAAAAAGATTACAATGTCAGTAAGAATTTTATGTAACCATCCATGCTCAAGAAGAGACATAGTTCAAGAGGTCACATGTACTTTTTCAGTAATTAATGAAGAAATATTTCAGTATTTTTTTGTCTTGGACGGTTACCCAAAATTTAGGAACTGTGTACTACTTTCTTGAAAACCTTAGGGTAAGGATTTTGCCCAGGTAAAGAAGCCAAAAGTTAAAGAACCTTGTTTTCTCCAACTAGACAGTAGCCTTTGCCAGACCTTGTTTTGCACTTATTCCAACTTACATTGGTTTCCAACTTAATAGTATGTTTTTTTAAGTGTCAACAGTATATCACAACCCTTACAACAGAGCAGATAAAAACATCTGTCTGGACCCAAACCTTTCAGGGCATGATGACTGTCAACATGTTTTTATGACCTTTTTTATTAATTGATTCTTAACCCTCTGCAATGTAATATGCTTCAAACAAACTGCAGGATCCATGCAGTTCAAAGTAAATAACAGTGATGCATTTGGGCTTTTCTTGCACCCCATTCTTTACAGTGTAAAGGTCTGAATGTGACATAAAAGCCCCAAAAATAGTCTGCTGACCACAAGCACTGACGAGTATATTTTGAAAAGTCTAAAAAATATATATATATTGCTGAAAAGTGCAGGTGCAGGGGGGTGGTGTGCGGTTCAGTGGGTTAGCACTGTGCCTGCGGTCAGAACGTTGCTGGTTTGAATCCCAGAGTTGGCTTACTGATGCCACTGTTGGGGAGAAGAGTCTAGCACTGGGGCCCAGTTACTCCAGGCTGACTCCACTGTCTGCAAAAATTGATACTGCTTTGGATAAAATATCTGATAAATGAATCAAGTGTGTATGGATAAACATACACACACAGTGTCATGCAAAAGTTTATGCACCCCTGGCCAAAATTATTTCCTTTACCGGGAATAGCTAAACGAGTAAAAGATGACCTAATTTCAAAAAGGCATGAAGTTGACGATGACACATTTCTGTTATATTATCTGCTAAATTACTTTTTTGCAGCTTCAGAATAACAAAAAGGAGAAGGGCCTGAAGCAAAAGTCTGGGCCCCCTGCATGATCAGGACTTAGTAACACCCTCTTTGGCAACCATCACAGCCTGTAAACACTTATTTTAGCCAGCAAAGTCTTTCAGGTCTTGTTTTGGGGATTTTTGCCCTTTTTTCCTTGCAAAAGCCTTTTAGTTCTGTGAGATTCTTGGGCTGCCTTGCATGCCCCACTCTTTTGAGGTCAATCCACAGACTTTTGGTGACTTTTAGGTCAGTGACCATGAGGGCCATGGCGAAACCTTCAGCTTGCACCACTTGGGGTAGCTCATTGTGGATTTTGGGATGTTTAGTTTAGATCAGTATCCAATTGCATAAATCATCCTCTTTTCATCTTCAGCTTTTTTACAAATTGTGTGATGTTTGCTTCCAGAACTTGCTGGTATTTAATTGAATCCATTATCGATCAACCCCTTTAGATAATTGTTTTTTTAATGAAATTTTGTGCCCATTATTTTCCAAACATACCTTTTCACATTGGAGCCAAAAAAATTTAACTTCATCTGTCCACAGGATCCCTTTCCAAAATGCATCTGGCTTATTTAGATGTTCATTTACAAGCTTCTGCTTCGGAATTTTGTGGTGAGGATGCAGGAAAGTTTTTTTTCTGATGACTATTCCATGTAGGTCATATTTGTGTAGGTGTCGCTGCACACACAGTAAAACAGTGAACCACCACTTCAGAGTCTGTTAAATCTTCCACAAGGTCTATTGCAGTCAAACAGCAACTTTTATTTGCATTTCTAGTAATCCAGCGAGCAATTCTCTTAGAAGGTTTTCTTGGTCTTTCAGAACTTGACCTCCACTGTTCCTGTTAACTGCAATTTCTTAATTGCATTATGAACTGCGGAGGAAATCTAAAAATACTTGACTATCTAAAAATTCTTTGCTATCTTCTTATAGCCTTTGTTTGCTTTATAAGCATCAATTGTTTTAAATTTCTGAGTGCTGGGCAGCTGTTTAGAGGAGCCTATGGCTGCTGATTGATGAGTCCGAGTATTTATAAAGCTTAGAAATTTGCATCACCTGGCCTTTCCTAATGATGAAAACAACCACTCCTTTAATAAGCTTATTGAGGCCTGAGACCTTGGAAAAAAATCTCTTGGGGTGCCCAAACTTTTGCATGGTTCTCCTTTGCTTTTTCTCCACTCAAAAATTGTACAAATCAAAAGTAATCTTGCTGAAAATGTTGAAAAATCTTTAACTTAATGCTTCTTGGACACAAGTTCATCTTCTACTCACTTAACTAGTCACAGTATCAGAAACAGTGACCAGGGGTGCCCAAACTTTAGCATACCACTGTGTAAATATTTGGTGTGTATGACATCCTGCGATGCTGTGGTTCTATGGACAAAGAGGCTCAGCTGATCTTTCCACTTCGTACTTGTTTATGTGAGAAACATACAACAACTTTTCTGATGCAAATTCTAACGGTTCAGAAGATTGAATCAGACTGTAAAAAACGTTTATATTTTTCATCCTTTGGATAAAACATTTGTGACAGGTGTAATATGTAATGTAGTTCCTCGCCCCCATCCGTGGTTTTGCTTTCTGTGGTTTCAGTTTCCCGCGGTCAACCACAGTCCAAAAATATTACATGGAAAATTCCAGAGATAATTCATAAGTTTCAAATTGCGCGCCATCCTCAGTAGCATGATGAAATCTTGTGCCGTTCTGCCCGGGACATGAATCATCTCTTTGTCCAGCAGTTACTCGCTGTATACGCTACACGACCATTAGAGAGAGAGAGAGAGAGAGAGAGAGACCACATTCATGTAACTTTTATTACAGTATGTTAAATCCGATCTATTTTATTACATATTGTTGTTGTTAATCTCTTAGTGTGCCTAATTTATATATTAAACTTCATCATAGATATGTATGTATAGTAAAAAACATAGTATATACTGTATATGGTTTGGTACTATATGCAGTTTCCAGCATCCGCTGGGGGTCTTGGAACATATCCCCCGCAGATAAGGGGGGGCTACTGTATTTACAAAGAAAGAAGTTTACTGCACTGAAACCACAATTCTCTGGCATTTCTAGGAGACATCTGCCTTTATTTAGCTCGTGCGTGGAGATATGGAAGTGGTGAGTGCTTTTGTTGCATATATTTTCTGTAAAAAAATACTTCATATAGTTACATCATCCCCTGTGTCATGTGATGCACTGGCACCACAATGGCACTTATCAGGAGATGTGACAGTTCCGAGAAACCACAAAGTAGTGTGATTTTCCCTCACAGTCCGGGGCTGATAGATGTTTGGGAGCTGAAAGGCTAAACACTACACAGAAAAGTCCACTTGGCACATGCAAGAAAACACAGAGAAACGTTCAAGGCAGCTTGATGTGCGACACGATTGTCAGAATTGTAACATCATGCTGTTTGCAATTAATGCTGTTCTTTCCAGGTCTCTTCCAATTTGTGGAGGTCACTGCACTTAGGGGAGTCATGACAACATTCCCCCGTTCTGTTGTGCCTTGGGGGCAGAAGGGTGGTTGGTGTTTTAGTAGGATTTTTCCTTAAAGTGCAGTGTGTTTCATTTAGGACTACGAGGGTCATTAGCTCGGTCATGGGTCTGTTCTCTCTCATTAGGTAAATTACTACCCAATCAAAGCTTTCAAGGAGCACTCAAAACTTGCTATTTCTGAAAACAATTTCAGTGGAAGTTTCCACTGCCTATGAATCCAGAAAGATTGCTTCGAACAATTGTAGCGAGACCTTATTTCTGCTGTATTTTAGATGAAAGCAAAAGAACATTTGACCAAATCTTTTTATTCCAAGTACTTCAGAAGTTGAAATATGTCTGTACCATCACTTCTGCTTTTTCTGGCCTCCATTACTCATGTCTGTTTCCAATAACGATTTTAGAAGGTCATTCAGAAACTCAAGTATTAGACATGAACTCAGTATTTCTTCCAAGAATGCAGCATTTTGCCCTAATAATTTCCTTTGGGATGCTGATACACATGCAAGCCTAAAGTGACTTGTGGTCATTAGAAGACTTTGGGACCCTTACGGTTATTTGCAGATGCATTTGAATTCTATGTAACTTTTAATATGAAGCTTTATAATCTTAAGTTCATTCTTACTGCTCACCGGGTAAGCAACTACCCCTCCCCTCACGTCTGTGCTTGGGCGTTCAAATCTCTTTTGTTTTCCCTGAGATTGTGTACATTTCTTCTGGGTACTCTGACTTCCTTCTGTAGTCCAAATCCTTGATGTTATATGAGTTAGCATCTGTAAATTTCCCATAGTATGCGACGATGAGTGTGTCTACAATGGACTGACATCCAGTCTAAGGTGATTCCCCTGCTTTGTGCCTCGTGATTCTTGGAATAAGCTTCTGGCTCACAAAAACCTTCTACTGGATTTGCAGATTCATGAAATTCATTCTCCGATATTTGTGCGACACTGCATTTACAACATGCAGCTGGTAATAAATGAATGACTAAACTACAAAAACTAGCATTTATTATTTTACTCCTCAGGTATCCTATTTTATTCTACTTTTGTCACTGTCATCAATGACAGGACAATCGAGACTAAAGGTCCATTATAAATCAACCATCGAATATGTTTCAATAAAAGAATTACAAACTGGCCAGACAGCAAGATTCTTGCCAAGATTGAACTTCCATCGATGGTACCTTGCCATGTGTTCCAACAAGGTATTGTTCCACATATAGCTTTTCAATGGAAATGTTTAAGCCTGCTAGACTCATCATTTTAAGCAAAAGGCTTTACAGACAACACACTTATCTTATTTTGCTTCTCCAGTGTTTTGTTGTTTTTTTTTTTTTTTACCAGATAAAGGTCCCATGAGTAGAGAATCAGACTGAATCAACTTCAGAAGTGCATATGCACAAGCTTTTGGAACTTATTAGATTTGGTATTGAGGCTGAGTAGTTTATTCAATTATAATTGTTATAATTTTTCAGAACTCCATTAATTTTTTTCTTGGAGGCCAGTTTATTGTAACCAGAGCTTCTTTGCGCAAAGACAGCTAAGCACAGTACACATGTGGGAAAGGTTATACTGGCATTTAAGCCCTATTCCATTTCAGTATGGTGCGGTATTTAGGTAGCATGTCTGCAGAATATTTCAGGCTTCTGCATCTAAGAAGGTATTTTACAAAGAGAACAAAGGGAATACAAAGGCACTAATTTATCAAGTGAAACATTCTCAGATATTTACACCCATTAATCTTTGAATGCTCAAATAAAACATATTATACGTAATTTGGCATTTTTTATGTGATTACTAAGCTTTCATTGTTGTAAATCAGTAGAACACATTAAAATTCAAACAAGTGGTGATCAGCATTATAAAATAAAGAATGAAAAATAACAAAAATCAGGGAAATGCAAAGGAACAATTGTGTTCTGCTTAATATTTTTTTGCGTAATATATCCTGAATCCAAGGGGGTCACACTGGCTCAGAGGGCAGTATTGTAAGCTCATTCCTCCAGGGTTTGAAGCTCATCTCCACCCCCATGAGTGTGAAATTGGTACGCCCTTGTGTCCAGACGGGTTTCCGCTAGGTACTTCCATTATCCCCCCAAGTCCTTTAGGGGTGAGTGTTCACCCCTTGATGGACATTCCATTCCCACCCTGGGTCTCCTGGGATAAACGCCAGGCTCACTGCATCCCTGTACTACATGATGAGGGATGTGTATTGTAACTTCACAGACCAGGATAAGAAGGCTATATTCTAAGATTCAGGGATTGGAAGACATAAAGTCACGGAGGTGATAAACATCAAAGCTGACTACATGAAACTGAGAGGGATATTTAGTTTCCCAGTGTTTCCTGATGCCACAGCTGGTTCCTATACTGCACTTGTCAATCCCTCATTAGGATAACGGGAACCAGCTGTCCCTAACTGGAGAGGCTGTCAGCCAGAAGGTCCTGGTTGAACGTCGCCCAGTTGACCTCTCAGCTGCAGGTGGTCATAGGAGTTCCTTAGTGAAGTAAAACAAAGGAACTGTGTCCATATAAGAATGAGGAATAATTGTACATTGACCTTTTGGAAACTTAGGCCTTTTTTAAATGCAAATTGACTCTTCTGAGACGTTTAATAAGGTCACGGACCACAACTCCACACCTGCTGTTGCACGTCATGCTGCGATGTCATGCCAGAACATGGCAAATACCCTTTAGTCACACTGAAGATTAAATATCCGGCTCAAAACCTTCCAGAACACTTGAGTGATTTCTCCCTTTGAAACTTGCAAACACACTCATTACCGATGAAATACCCCAACTGATCCGTGAATAGTAAGCTATCCAAAGGCTGTAATTAAGTTCCTGAGTTGAGTAAACACTCTTTAGCAACCAAATGAACACCTGTGCTACAGAATATTATGTGTGGAGTGAACATATTTTGCTTTGCAAGAAAGAGGACACCAGGGCAGTACGCAATGAGGCGTCAAAGCAACACAAATATGCACACAGAAAATATTTTGACTGTAGAAAGCAAATGTCAACATCAAACAAAGGAAAATCCCAGACATTTCACGCATTGTTAGGTCCCAATAAGAGGATGTATGATCACTCAGACACAACATCCTAATCCACTGAACCACGCCCTGCCTTTGATGGTCATGTCACAAAAAAGGGTTCTAATTTATTACACAACAGGATAAGAGTGATTAGAAGATGGATGGATGGGTGAACAACACAGACCAGTTTTATGATTTGGTTTGACGCTGTGTGTCGACTCATCAAAAGGCTAAATATATTATATATAAAAAAACATTTTACCTAAAGACTAAACTTTTTAAAATGCGGCCCGCAATCTCTCACTCCAGAAGTTTTAATATCCCGTAGCATTCTTTTTAGAAAACCAGTCCATTTCAATACATTTTAAAATATCACTATAAAACTAAAGTCTGGACATTCTCTACCATACTTTTTTTTAGTTGCAGGAATTTTCACATGCTAATAAATGTATTCAGATATAATGCTTCACATGCCTTGCAAAACGCCAGAGTCAATTTCCTGGATAACTGGAGAGTATTGAAGCACAGTGCTCAATGAATCGCATACTAAATAAGTATGGCTTGCTATACTCAGCATAACATCGACAATGACAATTTAATGTTATTTACAGGAAATGACTGGCTTTATAGTAAAAACCATGCTGCTCTTATTCTCTGTCCTATTAAAGTTGTTAAAAGATTATTATCCCCTAGAAAAAAAACATGTGTTACATGAATGATGGGATTTAGATGACTGGTTCCAAGACTAAAGGTCAAAGTCAGTGTTTTATTTCTAACCTTTTTCCTGTGGTTTTGCAGTTTTTTTCTTCCCAGATTCAGGAAATGAACTGGTGAATATATAAAAGTGTTTCCATGGCCCAAAAGGTCTCAGTTGACCTACCCCAATGTAAAAGCAGTGTTCAGCAAAACAACTAAAGACATAAAATGTATGTATATTATATTTCAATTATAACTAACTCTACCTGAAATAAATCAAGTTGCCACAGCAACAAACCTCATATATCCCTGTGTTTTGGCTGATGGTGCCAGCATACAGCAAATCTTCAGAACATCCAACAAAAACAGCGCTGCAGGAAACATTATTCCCTTTACGCTCTTAGCAGAGAGATGATGATAAATCGGCCATTCCAAATTGTAGCTGGCGGACGTCACTCCCCAAAAATGTTTGCAGGAAAATGGACAACAGCTGTCTTTCTGGGGCAGCCTGTACACTGGGCATATATTGCAGGGCACAGCAAAAATTACAGTAAATTTTAAAGATATAAATGTCATTCTGGTGTGCTAGTGACGTTAGCCGACCAATATGTTTTTGCTGGATTCCAAAAAATGATTGTGGTAATATATAGCAGCCCTAAGACTTAGACTGTAATGCAGTAAAAAGCAATGAATATCATTGTGGATACTGATAACTCACTGTTTGACTACTTTTTCAGTGGTCAGATGTATTCAATAGTACATTCTTCACCATTTTTGTTTAGCTAGATATCTGCTAGCTTACGCTGATAAGATTCAAGATTCAAAGTGTTTATTGTCATATGTACAGTAGAAAAGTGCATTTCTCTGTGCAATGAAATTCTTACTTTGCTGTCGACACAAAAATGCCAAGGTACATTATAACAGAAAAAAAAGAAAAATATATATTTTTAAGTGTAATGTGCAAAAGAACTTAATGTGCAAAAAATGACAGTATGAGGTAGTATGGCATGGTATGGTAGTATGGTAGTATGATGTCCATTATTCATACTCCTGTTGGCTGTTAGGGAGTCTGATGGCAGTGGGGAAGAAGGAGTTGTTGAGTCGGGAGGTTCTAGATTTCACACTTCTGTACCTCCGACCTGAGGGCAGAAGTGTGAACAGTCCGTGTTGGGGGTGTGTGGGGTCTTTGAGGATGGAGTCAGCTATCCTCTGGACTCTGCGGTGGTAGCTGCTCTGCAAAGAGGGCAGCGGAGTCCTGTGTTAAGGTGCTTTGAAACACAAAAATGAAGAGATTTCTCAGTCACTAAAAGGCCTTTTTCCAGATTAATTTTATTCGTAAAAGTGCGAAAGAAAAACAAACACAAAAAAACATATAATTTCCTGAGAAACTGGGGGAATGGTTTCTGTTCAAAACTGGCGATGCTGAAATTGTTCACAATGCAGTTAGTCTATCAACAATTGTATGAGTCCACCCCCCACGATTACACACATGGAACTTGTAGTTGTTATATACAGTATGGCAAGCCAAGCCCTTGTGAATGAGCCTTAATGGATTAAACAAGGCTTTCAGTGCTTTTAAAATGCACATTTCTGGTAACCATGGAAATCAGACATTCTGATAAGTATGTCACATGGCTTTCTAAACTCACAAAGAACATTCCGTGCATGGCCAGCACTCTCTAAATCTATACAGATCTACTTTTTCTGTAATTCCTCCAATGGATATTTTATTTAAATAAGGCATCTTATGTTTTTGTTAATTTTAAACACTAATAAACCACATTTTAATTAGAGTACTGGGCGTATATGCAGACTAGTACCTTCTTATATCTACACACTGTCCTCAAATGTTGAATGAAAGGCAGCTACATCTCTTCCATGGCAACCGGCCTATGACATAAAACCTTTCTGCAACCCTGCCCCCCTCTCATACATGCCAGCTAGTTACCCCTTTGTGGGGGGATTATATAATAAATTGTACAAAGCAGTCACTACTTGCCACATGTATGGAGTTTCCATTTTAATTATTTATTCTGGTGCCCAGAGTATAAAGACTGCTAAGTTGTTCAAGTAATTCTGAGTTTAAAAGGACGTTCTGCTCTTTCCCAACCTACCAGAATAAATCCCGTAGTTTCCATCATGCTTCACAAAGGATAAGCTCTCTGAAGCCTGGAGCTGTGACCGGGGCACCGTACATGGGGGTGGGGGTTATAACGAATGACAGAGGCCCTAAAAAATTTGTAACATAATTGGATTGGTTTGGGGGCCCAATATGATGAGCACCACAGGGCCCAAATCTCTAGCGGCACCCCGGGCTGTGGTCCCTTTGATGTTTTGGTAATCTTAAAGTACATTAAATGATTTCTGGGCTGCCTTTAGATAAGTATGAACTTTTGTTAATAATTCCTTTTGTTTTCACTTTGTGTGGTTTCACCTGTAAAGACTAAGAACCATTTTACATCATATAGTATATTATAATATAGCAAAATACTAAACACAAAAAAGATTTGCAGACAAAGAAATAAAGAACCTTTAACACATAAGAACGACATCACTATACTGCTAGCTATCTAAAGAGCAGAAACAAAATGTTTTGGCACCAGAACTATATACTGATGTGCTGGTTTTAGAACAGCATCTACAAAATAACTGTTACATGGATTTTGACCTTTTCTACTTGTGCAACATAGAAATAGAAAACATTTAGATATGAATTTCAGATATCACACATACATGATTGGTTTATAAAGCATAGCTTCAGCATCGTAATCCCCACCTCCAGGCTATCTGGACAGGTCCTTCCTGCTAAAAACCTAAGAATGCACTTCTCTTAGATGTAGAATGAATTAGGAGAACACTTCATCCATCAAGGTTATTGGAGCCAGCAGAACCTGGTGCTGAATGGAGGGTTTGTGGATGAGAGAACAGATCATATTGGCTGATAAGATTCAGTCTGTGGGCTAACATATATAAGGCTAACAGTCATGACGGAACGTAGAACAAGCTGGCTGTCCAGAAAGGTAAGGGTGTCAAACAGAAACCAAAACACGTGAAGGAGTAAACTCAAAAATTTCCTTACTTCTTTTTGAACATGGACCTTCAGGCCAGGAACAGGGAGAATTGCAGAAGCTGAAGGACACACTTTTATAATGTATGCTGACTCTCCCCACTGCCACCTCCCAAGAAATATCTGAATTATGATGGTGTGGGTCTAGACTGTCCCCCCCAGGACGACGGAAGGAATGTCATATGGGGGGAAAACTGCTGTTATTAGGGAAATATCTCTTGGCATCTGGACCACATTCACCCGCAGGATTTTGAAAAGGGGTTTGCCTGGAAATATCTGTTACTGATGTGGCGAGGCAGGACATGGGGGAAGTGCAGGTTAGTCCGGATCTCACCTGAGGAGCCCTTCAGGAGTAGATTAATTAAATGCCAAAAATGATGTATTACTTTCATAATAAAAAATATGGCTTCAGTACATGTTTATATTTCAGAAACAATTCCTCTGGATCAAATATTGAACCAGTATAAAAAATGCTCAGTGGATATTTAAAATAAAAAACTGAATATATATTTTTACTGAAATAAACATTTACCAAAAAGATTGTATGTATGAACTGACTGAAAGTGATATGAATACGGTTTCCATCTTCATTATTTTACAAATCAAGATTGCAGTTCACATTTGTCCAATGTTATTCTGATACTGATCTATGACTCATCCCTGATTTTCACAAAAGAAAATCTGAAGGATGTTTTAAGCAAGTTTAACAGGTTTGATATAAAACTGCACAAAGCTTTAAATTATGTTATAGGAAGCTTCCTTCTGCAACAGATTAGTAAGAACCCTTTTACATTATATAGTATATTATAATATAGCAAAATACTAAACACAAAAAAGATTTGCAGACACAGAAATAAAGAATCTTTAACACATAAGAACGAAATCACTATACTGCTAGCTAGCTAAACTTCAAAATCTAAAGCAAAATTTTCTTTAATCCAAAAATGCCCTACTGGTAAGCCCCAAGGGACAGCCTCAAACAGTTAACTTCAGAAATTTCAGTAAAATTCGCATAAAACAAAATAAGCGTAGTTACTCTGAAAACATATAACCTCGTGGGAGTTTTACTTGCACAAAAATCTTCTGAGGGCAGAAGGAAAAATGATTGGTTCAGACAGATAACCAATCAGATTGTAGATGAGATAGGTCCAAGCAACTAGAGAAGGCGAGACCAAGACATCTGATTGGTTGGTCCCACCTCCACTACAAACTAATTGGTTATATCTCTGAACACTACACCACTAAGCATCAATTGCATGCTCATACTAGGTAAGTTAAAGACACTAACCGAAAATGCAGCAATGTAAAATTAGCTTTCTGTTATTAAGTACTGTATTAAGACAGCAATATATCAGGATAATTGTCATAGAGTGGCACACAGATATTCTTAAAAGTAAGCCTTTAAATCTAGATCTACAGTCTTAGTTTTATTAAAATTTTCCAAACCATAATTTACTACCAAGAAGTAGAAGGAGGGGCAGGAGGTGAAAGGTCAGTTCGCAAAAATGTGGACAATGTGTGTGTTTTTGAGGGGGAGTTGGCAAAAATCTCAGCCGAGTTTCTCTCGTTCCATCGTTTCACTTGTATGTCTAAATTTGGGAAACAAATTGAGGGTTGAGAAAAATGTCCTGCGCGGATGTGGCGTCAGGCTTTGCTGAAAAACTCTGTCGCTAGAACATGACAATGAATCAAATGAAATTGTTAAACCTAAATTAAACTGTTAAACCGGCAGCATCGGATTCAGGCTGTCACTGCTCTTGGCCTCAATGTCACCTACCAAAGACCCAGATAAATAGAAATGGAAAATAGGAAAGATACAGCTACATTCAGGGTCTGGCTCAGATTAAAAACCTATAGAGAATCTCCCCCTCAGCAATTTTAAAAGCCATGAATGAATAAGACTCTTACCCCTGCATGAACCTAAACTAAAATTACATTGCATATTCTTGTGGCACATCAACTACTCTCTGTGCAAAACAGCTTTTCTTGATTTTGATTTGAGTTTGCTTTGGACAAACAAGCCATAATTAATTTACATTTGTCTCCCAGTAGCCTGCAATAACTTTGTTTTGTCCCAGTACATCATTAAATTTAAATATCAGAATTGTGCGTTTCTCATTTTCTTTCTCCTGAAAGACAGGTATCAGAAGTTCACACAGTAGGCTTGCTTAGAGTACTTGCATCTGACACAATAAATGTAATAACTGAAATCTTACGGTCTGACATTTTTTAGAGCAGTGTTTCTCAGCCCAGTCCCGAGGGACCCCAGACGGCTCACATTTTCGCTCCCTCCCAGCTCCTATCGTTCCTGAACCAGGTATTTGGTGATCTTGATTGGTTGATTGTTTGGTCGAGGTGTGCTGGGAGCTGGGCGGGACAAAAAATGTGGACTGACTGCTGGTGAGAAACACTGTTTTAGAGTATGTGATGCATTGATTTTTGTTAATAGGCCAAATAAATAAATTTGAAGTTGACCTTAGATTGAATGAGTTAAAGAAAAAAAGTCTGTTACTCCAGTTTCTACCCATTGTCTAAATGATTTACAACATTGCAGGCTAACTGGCATCACTAAATTACCCATGATTGTGTGCATGTGCCTCCCCCCCCCCACCCTCCGACCAGGATACGCAATAGGAGAGGAATGAAGTTCTAACACTAAACTATCATCCGTAAAGCATTAATTCATCATTTTACAAAAATCCCAGAGAGACAGTATTATGTTACATCTTTTTACTGGAGAAACAAAACCAAAATTTATCAGCATTAATCTGCTATATATAGATGTTAGGAGTGGTTCACTTCTTTATGGAGATTACAATATTTGTTTTATAGCTCCATAGAAATAAGACATTAAACCACAATACAAGAATCTTGAACAAGTCTTTGACCAAACAACAACAATGTTTTCATTGGAAGGACATTAACTGTTCAATGACAGAAACCAAGCAACTTACGACTAACCCTGCAGATGATTCATACTGGGAAAAAAAGCACAAATAGCTGTTTTAATGTATTAACTAGAGGTAACAACAGGCAAGTGAACATTTATATATAAAGTTACTCCAGCTATATTAGTGGGTTGCACACAGCTACTGTAGTGCCCAAGAATACTTGCCAACCTCAAAACTAACATTAAATGAATTATCTACAAAGAGTATTTAAGGCTAGTATTCTAAATATATGAGTATTGCAGTAATGATACTTAAGAACACAGAACAAATTTCTAGGCCTGTTCCCAACCCAGAAAAATAAAATAACTGTAGTGTCGTCTTTGTTTAGCTCAGCTGTCAAAGTCAGGCGACAAGCTTGAAGCCAGAAGAGCCAGGCCACATGCACACGCGCACAACGCAGGACAGCATCCTGCACATTACGATTCACTCAGGCAGCAAGAAACCTTGGCGATCAGCACCTCCTTCTTCTCCCTTGACCTCACCCTTATCCCTCTGCTCTTCAGCCAGGCTTGCAGGGTCGTTGCGTTGACCTTCGATAGCTGCAAGCACATATAGACATCAATGCACAGGTCAACAAAATTGCATTACAAAACAAAAAAAATAAAGAATTAACCAGTAACTAGGGGGGAGGGGGGTTATCTCCTAGTGGTAATTAGGTGACAGCTGATATGTCAGTTGACATATCCTCCTCCGAGGCACATTCCCACTAGTCACAACCGACGGCTTCCTGACAGGTCAACAAAGCTGCTTCACAGACCCCCATTTACTACAAAACCTTCTTCCCGTCAGTGAAACAATATCGAGGGGGCTGCAGGTCAGACTCAGCAAACGATGCAACTCGCATTATAACTCGAACCTGTAGCAACCTGCCTGCGTGTAGAGTGTGCACTTTTACCCTTTGTGCAAGCCAGGTGAACCCTAAACTCTCTGAAATTTAATACAATACTAATAGAACTAATCTGATTTGACTCTAGGTTGCTCTGAGTTATATTTTGCTTGCACATTTAAACAGGTCTGGCTTGTTCGCCTCACTGTTCATGGGGGTCACATGTACATGTACAAGGCTTGTCAAAGATGTTCTCCTCTTGGTGCTGCTTTTCATTTCAAGCCCTAACATCTCTGTATTATAGTCAACCTCTGTGCTAAAGGCACTGCCCTGTGTATAGATAAGTACTGACACTGTGTGTATAGTCATACAATTCAGAAGTAACAGTGCTACCGTACCTGATTGTTTCTCGCGTAATTTTCCACATCAATATCCTGAATGCTGGACTTTGGTTTCTTGGGTTTACATTCAAACCAGTCCCCCTGAATGGAACCATAAATCAACTTAATAGCAGTGAGAAGACAAAAAAAAGTCAGAATGAAAACTGAAATACAGAAATAAAGCCCAACAGACAAATTCCATTCTGCTTCCTTTCAAGTAAAGAACATTCTATGCGTTAGTAACTTCCCCTGACATGAAAGGAAGAAACATATAGCAACAACAGCCAAGTCCCAAGCACTGTAAAATTCTCAGATTCACAAACTGCACCATTCTGTGGGTGAATAAAAAGGGACTCACCCACACTGAAAACCAAGAAATTACAATATGCATATGTACTATTCTACCTTGAAGAAGAATTCCACCCAATTGTCCATGTATTTAATTGAAAGTCTATCGTGGATGGAAGGATGTAAGAGGTTTGAGGATACAGTGATGCACACCCCTGAACAACTACACAAATGCCACATGGGCAATACATGAGCGGGGGGGGGGTTGGGGAGCATCCCATAATGAACAGGCATTACTCACAGAAGGCCCCCCACAGGCACCTCCTGCCCTGACCCCGGCGTGCCCCAGCGACGACAGCGATGAGGCCCCAGACGCAATCAGGTTCCCTGGGGATGCATGTCTCTCTCCTCTCCTCCCCTCCTCGTTGCCCGATTGAGACCCGGCAGCCTGCCCCTTTCTGAAGACGGGTACCATCTTAGCCCTGTTCTGAAGCCTCTGAAGGTTCTGCGAGGGCTGTGAGGTCACAGGGGTGACTGTGGAGCTAGAGAAGAGGGCTCGGCAGTTCGCTGCATTTAAGTCAGCAGCTCCGATGGAAAATCTGTTTCCCCGAACCCCCTTTCCTTCTCTGCCGGTCAGGCTGCACTCGCCCATCAGCGCAATGGGAGCTTGGGGAGAAGGTTTTAATGGACCTCCCTCAGACGAGGCCCCCGGGGGGTCACTGCCATGAGCGTGTGCGGGGATTGGTCTGCAGATGGTCTTGGCAGCCAGATTGAGGGGCCTAGTGCAAAAATTCTGAAGAACAAAACGCGTGGTGTATTTACATTACACACACACACACAAACACACACACACACACACATTCATATGTGTGTGTGTGGGGGGGGGGCTTATGAACTTACGCCAGAAAGTCTGGCATTTTTTCTGTATAATGATAACATAACAGCTGCAAATAATCTATAATAGCGACAGAACATACAGTATAAACGCACACTTTGAAGTCCATTTACCTGATTTTCTTCCGTGAAAATTCAGAATATGCAGGAATGGTTTGCAGAGGTCTGGTCAGTATATACGAACACTGTATTTTTACAGTTTTTTTTAACCATTACAAGAAAACTCCATATAACCATTAATACCATTAATGTTTTAGACATTTTAATAATGGTTGTGCATTTAATTTATTTACATTAGAACAAATTTCATTTTTAATACTGCATTTTAGGTCACAGTTAAATTTGTCGAGTAAAACTTGTACACAAAAACATAAACATAAACTTTTAATTATATCACATGTAATTAGATATCCGCTCTAGAGGTTCCCAGACCTATGATATAAATAATTACTATTTAGTTTGGCAGCAAAGTCTGTAATCACTGACAGCCTCAGGGAAATTACCTAATATCTGCTACAGTTTCAACTTGTATTTTCTTCTGGGAAAATTCATCAGACATATTTAAGAACTAGAAAGTCTGTTTTTTTCATAGTGTACAGTTAGGAAAGAATTGTGAAGCAGTTCTTTACAATTTGCTGCTTTTAGTCAGAGAAATAAGCGAGCACTTATGATATTAACGTTATTTAAAAATATACTGCACACTATCTGAAAGTGCCCAAAGAATGAGTGGTAAGCAGTTATACTAAAAAGGGCTATAAATAACTCTGTTGTTCAGCATACCAGTGTTCTCTGCTTTAGCTTGAGGGGGATTATGCTCACCTTAAAACTTTCCCATGTACTGTGGAAAGCTGACAGATTTTTTTTATTCGTCTGTTTTGTCTTTTGGTGAATAATAAGGACTAATTAAAAAATCTCAACACTGCAGTACAACTCAATCCATTATTTCCAGTTGCAATCCGTCATTCAACACGAAGCAGAAATTTTCTGAACGTGATCATAAGATTCCGACAAAGATTGCCAAATTAGTGAAATATCAAATATTTCTCACTGAATAAAATATTCATTCTATACAATCATTGCACATTATTTGTTTACTCAACGTCTCAACAGCCATGTGAGGCTCATTTCATTACATAACATCATAGATGTTCTCATTTTCTACAGCTATCATTAAAAAGTACATATCGAATACTAAATCAAAAATTTTAAACAATTTTTAAATTGTGATTTAAATTAAGCATAGGAGAGTGCATAGTCATTATTTAAGCTGAGAAAGGTCAGCATCATATTATCAAGATTTGTACTTAATGAAATTCAATGTTTCAGCATAATTTGCTGTGTAAATATGTGTCGTACCTGTGAACCAGGTGAAATCAAGCTGGTGGTGTAGCACAGTGGTTTGGTGGTCATCTGGACAGGAAAACCACAGATGCTTTGGAGTTTCCCTCGAAGGTCTGGCAAGAAGTTCAGTGCCTCCTGTAGGTCAACCCTGGGAAGGATTTGGACAGGCTGAGTCCTGATGCAGCTCAAAGGGTATCTGAACAATGGATAAGGAACCAATTACATTAAGCTGAGAATGTGTAGCTTTTAAAAAGTAATCCTGAACTCTAATAATGATTACCCCCACGAGGGGTGTGAACTTTGCATAGTTGATGGGTCTGTATGGTTCAGTTGTCCTCATAGCTATGTTATCTGGAGCCTTAGTTCCTGTTTGGGCCTCTAGCGGCAGACTCATATGTGGGGAGAAGGCAGACAAACTGCAGTCCAACAAAGACTCCAATGAAAGGTACCAATACATGCCAGAGTACCCTGCACAGATGTTTTGGCAAACTGCTCAACACCCCAGGAGGGGGAGGCAAGACCTTGCAGACTACGCTCAGCAAGACTGAGGACCTGCCGACCAACACTGAGGATATTTGAACTCTTTAACCTGGTGCATATGTCCTCCCAGCAGGAAGCAATGTTGGAAACTTATGATGCAGTCTATCACAGCAGTTGAAGCTGCTATGGTGGTCAAAGGTCACAGCGGTGGAAAGACTACAGGACTAGATGAAATCCGAGATGTTAAAGGCACTAGATGTTGTTGAAGTGACGTGCTTGACCTGCTTCTTCAATGTTGCATGGCAGGTGCATAAGGTGCCCCTGGACTGGAAAACAGTGATGGGGGTCCGAATATTTACAAACCTGAACAGAGGGTTTGCACCAACTAGATACAGAAAACTCCAGTTTCCCTGAGAAAATCTATGCCACAGTACTGGAGAGGAGCCTCAACGCAATGATGGAAAGTATGATTTAGGGGAAACAATGCGGATTCTAGCTTGGCCACAGAGCATTGGTATAACTATTCAACTACTCTCCCTCACACGATTGTGTGAGGATTTGTGGAAATATATTACTATAGTTACTATAGTACATACGTTTTGTGGATTTGGAGGAAGAATATGACCGCGCGCCCTGGCACATACTCCGGGGGTACCAGGATAGCTCCAGCATGCTGTTATATCCCAGTATGAATGCATCAAGAGCTGCATCCACATGCTTGGCACAAGTATGAGGTTGTTCAGAGCTGACGTAAGCTTCCAGCAAAGATGGGTCTTGTCTCCACTCCTGTTTGCGATATTTAGAATATCAAGGTGCAGCCACAGCTGGAAGGGCATCAAGCATAGAGGACTAAAGGTAACATCCCTACTATTTACAGATGAACTTGTTCCTTTGACCTAATCCAACCAGGAACTCCAGCATGCTCTTAAGCCATTTGATACTTATTGTGAGGCAGCAGGTATGAGAATCATCACCACCAAATCCAAGGCCATGGATTGTTGACAAGGGGAAAGTCTGTCCTTGGGGAAAGAGTTGAAGTCATCAGTCAATCTACATCCCTATCATGACATGGTCCAGAGTACCAGTGGTTGAAATATGATTTCTTTGCAACGTTGCCAAGGTTACTCTCCTTGCCAAGGGGAGGAGGTGCAGATTCAGAAGGACATCAAAATAGAGCCGCTGTTCCATTGGATTGAGAGGAATCAGTTGAGGTGGTTTGGGCATCTCAAAAAGATGAACATAACAGGATCAAGCTTCTTAAAACTTATTTTGGGTTTTTATACCTATTATTATATAGCTTATTGCAGTCATATTTATACTATTTTTATACTTCTGTACTTATATTTTGTAAAAGACACAAAAGATATTGGAAATATTTAAATGATATTCTGCACATTTCTTTAATTCTAGTTCCTCGAGTATCTGTGTATTGCCTCAAAATGGTCTCTAATAGGCAGTAGCAAGTGTTCCCAATTTTAATTAAAAGCACCAGAAGATAGACATTTTCAGCTTACCGAAATTCTTCATCCACAAAATCGGAGAACCTGAGTACATCAAACAGGGTAAGAGTGCAGTGTCTCAGCCCTGCGAGTGACACATACTGGATATGGGAAAAGGATACGTAAAGAGCTTCTCTCCCACCATTTTGAAATATACACTGCAATAGACCAGGCCCTCCTCCTCCTCCTGGGGGAGTTCGTATCCGTACTGAATCATAAGAAGAGAAACAGGTGACTTGCTGACTATGAGGTTCTATGGCATCTCAGGTTCCAAATAAGCCATTTTCTTCTAGAAGAATAAATTAATGTCGTTTATGTATTAAAAATGGCGCCATCTGTTGTTCAAAATTTTAAATTTAAAAATACTAACAATTTAAAATGACCAAACCATTTTACTGCAAAACCCAGGGATGTTCTGCGGTTAACAATTCAGAAAAATATGTCTGAATTATAAATACATGACACGGTGTAAAAACTTAGCAGTAATATTGTGTTTAGTTTTTTTTAATAAAGTGTGTTCTGTGTATATACCACTGCATCTATACCAAAGTACTCCAGTGCTTCTGAATGTCAGAGTAAGTCTGGAAAGGGCACTCAGGGGCCATCTGGTGGCTGATGCTGACAATTTGACCCTTCTTCATACTGTGGAAAATGAAAAGCCCCAATGTGGCAAATTCAAAAACAGCTGCACACCACACACAATAATCTGATTTTTACTTAATGTGTAAAGCCGCATTAAAAATATATAATTTAAGAAAAATGTATTGATCCATATCTTCCACAGTAATTAATCTAAAAAGTAGTAAATTAATAACTTTCATTTAAATTTGTATAAGTACAATTCTGGTCATCAGGTATCATCAGTTTGATTAACAGTCATTTGACATGTTAGACGAGCATTTGTTTCCAAGAATCTGAAAATTAAGAAAATCCTAACATCTGCTAAGCTGTAAAACCAGAGAAACCCTCCACACACATAGGACTGTAAGCATGTATTTTTCTTTAAGTTTTTCATTCTAAACACAAATGGAACAAATACCTGGGCAGTATGTAGCACCAATTATTAGCTATGGAGGAGGTCTGGATCACAGCAGACCTGCAACTGCTGAAGTTCCTCAGAACATTTGGTGCGATGTCAAACTCCTCCAGCTAAATCGGAAAGACGACAATTACCATCTCTGAAAAACAATTGGACCACCCCCCCCTCACAAAACCCTCCCTGTTTATGCTGTTCCTCATTTCTTATGGTCTGAAGTCTTATTTGAAAGTGTGCTGCAGCTTCATGAAGCTGTGGGGCTTACGGTGGCCGGTGGAAGTCTTACGGTACTGCATCCTACACTGACACACAGCTGATCTTCCCTGGTACTGAGCTCCATCACTGTTAAAAAGAAACAGCACACCAACTGGCAGTGGCCATAGAGACCACTGCATTGCGGGAAGCGTGCTGACTGCAGGCCTCATCGGCGCCACTGAGAAAAGGTCAATCCAAGAGACGTATTACAGAAAACATACAAACCTAAAACAAAAGCACACAGGGACCTTAGCCCTAACTCTTGCTCATCTGGCTGTTTATCCATACAAAAGCAAACAGTCCACGTCTAGCTGGGATTCGTTGTCTAGGGCTAATGTTTGAATGGGGCTGGGATTGAGGCCATGGTAACGGGAAAAATCATCCAAACCCAGCCCTGTGTGGTTGGTGCTCCAACTACTAGCTAACAAGAGTTAGAAATATATGGATGACTGTCCCCCAAAAAGTAATCCACTCAAATCCTCCATTCCCACATCAAATTAACAGGGGCTGTGTAGACTGGCTTAAGTAGTGATACAATGAGAGACACACCTTAAAAAAAAAGTTCCAGCTGACTCCCCTCATTCCCATGATGCAACAGACACCAATCTACTCCACAAACTCCAGTCCACTTCAATCCATCCTGTTCACAAGCCTGAATCTTACTTGTAGGCCTTGGCTTGTTTATCTAGCTCAAACTGAAAACAATTACGTACTTTTTCTGTTTAGAGGAGACCGAAGTTCAGAGAAGGGAAGGAACACTATAACTTTAAATCAGCACAAACACTTAGCTTCAACAGTTAACAGACACAGTACTTAAATAAATGTGCAGTAGTGAGCCTAATTTATTAAAAGCTTGGCTAAATTAAAAAAATGGGTCCCCACAAGCAAGATAATGATCTCCCAGTGGATATATTGCAGGAATTGTAGACTTACCAATGGCATTGAGCTTGCCAGAGGAGGAAAGAAAATTTTTCCCTAACAAAAAAAATATAATTTTAAGTTATATAAGTATGCATAAAAGTTGCATACCAACAAGTCAAAACAAACCAGGAGTTGCTTAATAGACAAACATGCTGGGATATTAAAATGGCCAAATGTAGGGTCATTTAGAAGCTGTACAGAGCTCCTCAACAGCAGTATATTACTTTAAGAATTCCTTGTTGGTTCTGCAGTAAAATTTCCCTTGAGTGCTTTACAAAATACAGAGGAAACTCTGCCATCTTGTGGTTGAGCTGCATTATCCAATTACAACTTCGAATCTCAAACTTACTTTCAGCACTACTAATAACAAAGAATGTAAATATTTTTGTTGTTACTTAATTTGGCCCTTTACATGTTTATTAATTTAGCAACGATTGTGACATACTGTACGTGAAATCGTTCATGGGCTGTCATGACTCAATCTGGCCACCAGAGGGCAGTGAGATGCAAGTCAGATTCATGCATAAATGCATTGAAGTCCACCTGTCTATTACTTATTTACACAATTATTATTACAGATGTCTAAAAAGTTGAGAGTTTAGCGTTTTTGCCAAAAACTTCATACCTGTATTAAATACTAGGCTTAACTGTGAACTTTACAGTTAAATGTAAATTTCAGATGCCTTGGACAAATATTTAGAATTGAGTTTTAAAATACAATCTGTCTCCGAAGAACCAAAGCCATCCATTAGTTTTCGGTAAATGCGAGAAAAAAGTTAGTGACACCAAACAGACACCAGGAACACCAAAGGATGTTAGTGCATCACAGCTCTCACCCACTCTCAGTGAGCTAAACAGTCTTTCCAGAAAGGAAATTTAGAATTGCCAGTTCACTTGAATACCATGTGCTCATATTTATGAGAAAATCAAACTCCCATGGAAACCCACAGAAAAACATACAATATTTTTAGTGGTAGTGTGAGAGATTTATAATTCATGTCCCTGGAGCTGCGATGCCTAATGATCCTTACTGTGCCTCCCTGTCAACCTGGTCAGTTTAATCACTGATTCTTGGATCTCCTGCTGTTCTGATATACATCCCACAACTTTCTCTACCTCTAATGAGAAACTGTCCTGCCTTGTTCCAGTCCGGAGCCAGTCTGGCAGTCACAGTGTACGACAAACAGGCTTGCAGTAAGCTTGGAAGGACCCGGTGCGGAGTGCTCATCTGTCCAATCAGAAAACAGTAAGAAAAACCCCAAAACGCTCCATGGTGTCAGACTTCTATAGTGGTGTGACAACTCATAAATTATTGTTTTATCTGCATGATTCCAAAGACTGTGCCCCAATCGCTCTTACTGAACTACAGGTATATCAATTGAAATCTGGTCTTACACTGCTGTACAAGTTTAGTAGTCAAATGGTCTATAAAATTGCAAGGATTCATACTAACAATTAGGAATCAGAAAGCAGTACAAGGAAGGATAATTTTTTAAGTACCACAATATATATCCGCCACGTCAACAGACAAAAGATGAATAGGAATTAAGATTTTCACTCTCATTTTACAGAACATATAAAATTTCCATTGAGTTTCAGTAATAAAAAAATAAAAAATGCCTACTATAATATTTGGTGCATGTTATGATACTATGGCGCATAATGTACTTTCCTTTGGATATTTGTAATGATGAATAAAATTAACATAAATGAAGTTACCAATTAATTGAAAGAGCATACCTGCATGATACATGCCTGTGCGTGAGCTTGGATTACTCCAGTCTTGAAAAATTCAATCTGGAAGATAGTTTGTAAATGCAAGATAGTTTAAAATGCAAATCTGCCTTGTGCAGCTATTCATATTCATAGGGCATGTTAAAGAAGTTTAACCTCTAAGAGCCTTATTTTATTTAACACTTAAAGCATTGAACATTTGGTGCATTAAATCAATAAACTAACAAAAACATTCAGAAAATGAAAATCACTTAGTCCCATCTGTGGGTCTAGTAGTTAATAATTAAGTCCTATACTAAACACTTGGCAACATCTGCAAGTCATTTTAAAAGCAGAATATGATTCACATAATTAGAACAGTGTGCCAAGATGGATGTACATTGTTTCTTCACTCAGAAAATGACTTTCATTAAACCAGCCGCTTCAATCTTACAATTAGCTGAACATAGATAAGACATATCAAGCTTGGAGCTTCTAATGAGTTTTTGATGGCATTTTCGGGGTGTAATAAAAAATAATAATGATCCGTTATGAATCAGTTTACCTTTCAGGTAATCTGCATTAAATGCTTAAGCTTTTTAAATAACCATAAAATACAGATGCAGATGAATAACCACAAGCCTTAACGAGTTCAAACAAACAACATCATTTGCATACTGCTAATAGTGTCACAGATCGAATTTTTAATTCAGAGTACTAATTATACTTACAGACATTATAACAATAATGTCAAAAGACTCCATCACAGGAGAGGCAATGACATCTGGGTACTGGAATAATATCGCTCTGAAAAATAACAGAGTATAATGTGTTATATTTATTCTAATATCTCAAAAGTCTCTATCTTAGAGAGGCATTGACATCTGGATAGTGGAATATCTCTCCAAATAATGGAGTATAATGTGTAATACCTATTCTAATATATCATATAAATACACGTTAAAAGAAAACATCTGAAAAGAAGTATTTGTGGACATTATAATATTTAGTAGGACACTGAGTTCATGCCCAGCTGAATACCAACAGAGAACATCAACCATATGGAAATGTTGACCAATTTTCCATAAGCACTTATGTGGTGGAGGTTTCACAGTGAGCCTGGAGTCCATTCCAGGAAGCATCAGGTGGAGGATAATCTCACTAGGATTCCAGGCCACCACAGGGTAAACACTATGGGAAACTTTACAGTAACCAATCCAAGTGTCTTTGGAACATGGGAGGAAATGTCACTACGTGGAGAAAATGCATGCAAACTGCACACAGAGTAGGAATTGAGCCCCCAACCCCAAATGTGCGAGGCCTCCCTGTCATGATGTCCTGGTTAAAATAAGCTGCTTGTCCTTCAAGTGTGCACCTGCAGGTCTTTAGCTGCAGGTTTCTCATATCTCCGTGGTTGGACTGCATGTCCAGAGACATGGTGGTACAGCACAGCCTCCTCAAGTCTGGGAGCCTGAGGAAGAACAGGAGGGGCTCGCTCCGTTGGTTCATCCTGTAAAGACCCCGAGGACATCAGTTTTCAACCTAGGCGAGAGGGTTGTCTTCCCAGCAGCAAGGATAAGGAAGTTTGAGAGTTTCAGAGAGTGCTGGTTGTTTTAGTTCAGTTAAATTGTTTCAAGGATTCAAAAGCTTTAATGTCATCCAGACATAAACAGACACCAAGGAAAAATGATAAATAGCCATAACAGAATAGTGAACAAAAACATACACAGAATAGACAATCCATCCACCATCTACACCCCCCTGTCCTATGCAGGGTTGCAGGGACCCAGAGCCGATCCAAAGCACGGCAGGGAATAACCCAGGACGGGGACCCACATATCACAGGGTACTCACACCATTTACACTGATGGATAATTTGGGAACCTTGGCATGTTTTTGATCTGTGGGAGAAACCCCACGAGGACGTGGGACGAACATGGTGCTGAGCATAAAATTCCTGTGATTAGTAAATAACAGTGGTGATCAGGGTTGCCAACTTTGGTCAGCTGGTTGGAGTAAGATTTTCAATTCGAGACAAGTTTACACACGCATGCACATGTATGTAACAGTTTTATTACCATGTAAATAGTCTGTAAGGTTTGCAAACTACCCCAACGCGTTGGATGTAGCTAATTCTATGTTTGTAATGGAATAATATAGATTCGCCATAAGACTTCTCGCGTGAGCGTCACGCCAGATGCGTGAGAGCTGGCAGCCATGTGGGAGGGGATTACAGTGCGAGTCCTCAGTGTGTATTTAACGTTTATTACTGTCGGGTAGAAGCTGTTTCTTGAGGCAAAGCCTGTACTTAAATCAGGGAGGCACATCAGCCGTACTGAATAATATATCTGGTTTCTCTGTCTACATATCTTCATATTTACTGGTTATGACATGACTGTATTGCAGAACATTAATCATAATCCTAAATAAAACGTCCCCTCAGGCAATGTGGTTACTCGGGATAAATTTGGGCTGCTCAGTAACTTCATAACTACTAACATGAGAATGATTCTGCCGATCTACAAACAGAAAAATATAAGTACTTAGTACAATAAAGTTGGTTTGTTGTTTTAAGTCTTTAAAGTAAAAGCAACGGCAAACACCCAAAAAGACGCTATAGCTACTTAGCTAAGTTATTTTACACTTTATGACTCTCGCACGTCGTCAAATAGTATTAATGTGGTCTGGCTATAAAACTAAAAGCGCAAAAAGGATATAATTAGTAAAAAGGATGCCTCCCGAACAATTTACAGAGATGAAAATGCCTGTATACGGTTTATGGGATCATACACGAAAAACCGTAAAATTAAGAAACGTATTGAATAGCCCACTTAAAATTTCACTTAAACGGCATAAAAATAAAATAACATATAAATGTATCTAAATATGCAAACAAGCAAAGAAATCGTATTAAAGATATCATTATACTTACCTCAAGAATCCCTATAGAGATGCTTTACATCCAAAACTGACACTAAATGATAGTATACTAATAATTATACTACCAAATGAAAAACACTTAAATACGATATTTTAACGAAATTTATGTTAAGTCACGATAGAGAGGAAAGACTTTGGTATATTGGCCTAGTTAAGTACTTACCTGGTCGGCTTTTGGTAGCCTAGCTGTTTCTCGCGCGCTTGCATTGAGCTATTTTATTCATATCCCTAAAAATGTTAAGTACACACTAAAGGATTCTTGAAAATCAATATACCGTATGCTGATTAATATGATTTCCAATTGAAATACTGTATGAACTGCAGTTAATAGCACGAGACGGCTGCATGACATAATGGCCAACAATGGACAAGTAATATTAGTAAAAGTTGGACAGACCTCTGAAAGTGAATTTATAAGTTCTCTTTTGCTCCAAGTAAATTTATTTAAAGAGAAAATGTTATATTAGTCTGTCACAAACAAAAATAAAACAAAAGCACTTGATTATAAGTGTGCACAATTATTAACTAAAGTCAGTTTATTACTATAGCACATTGTGAAACAACACAATGCATTGACACAGAAGGAACACATATAACTGCAATTACCACACCACACCCCATACAGTATGTATATAAAAACCCAATAAAATAAAATATATATTATTAGCCAATCAGAAACTGAGTGGATTTTCTCTTTTCACCATCAACAGAAATAATAATAAACAGTTTTACTTATTCAGTCTATATGGGGGTTAAACTATAAGCCATTATAAACAGTGTACCTTACCAAATTTAATGTCCTGTATAGTCACCTTCCTTCTGAATAACCATCTTGAATCTTTTGTCCATTGAACCAGTCAAGGTTTTGATTTGATCACTTCCTGTATTATGTGAGGCAGCCAAGACCATGTCCCAGACGCTGCTCTGAGAAGTGTACTGTTTGCCATCTCGGTAAATCTCATAGTTCAGTAAGGTGGGGGTTAAGTCAGGTGATGAAGGGGCCCTGTTCATAATTCAATCGTTTTTCAAGCCTTTCTATGCCAGTCTATGGAATACTTTGTAAAAGGGATATTGTAAAAGGGTTACTTTTCAGTAACAAGGGTTATATACACTATATGGACAAACAAATTGGGACACATCTCTTAATCATTGAATTCAGGTGTTTCATTCAGACCCATTGCCACAGGTATATAAAATCAAGCACCTAGCCATGCAGTCAGGTTTACAAACATTTGTGAAAGAATGGCTCGTTCTGGAGAGTTTAGTGAATTCAAGTATGGTACTGTCATAGGATGCCACCTTTGCAATAAGTCAGTTTGTGAAATTTCTTCTCTGCTAGATATTCCACAGTCAACTGTAAGTGGTGTTATTGCAAAGTGGAAGCGTTTAGGAACAACAGAAGCTCAGCCCCAAAGTGGCAGACCACATAAAATAACAGAACGGGGGTTGCAGAGTGCTGAGGGGCATAGTGCGTAAAAGTCACCAATGCTCTGTTGACTCAAGAACTGCAGAGTTCCAAACTTCCTCTGGCATTAACCCCAACACAAAAACTGTGTACTGAGAGCTTCATGGAATGGGGTTCAATGGCCGAGCAAGTGCATGCAAGGCTCACATTAGCAAGCACAATGCAAAGTGTTAGATTGAGAGGTATAAGGCACACTGCCACTGGACTCTGGAGCAGTGGATCATGTGTCTCTGTTTGGTAGTCTGGGATTGGTGAATATCAGGGTAATGTTGCCTGCCTGACTGCATTGTACCAACTATAAAGTTTGGTGGAGGAGGGATAATAGTATGGGGTTGTTTTTCAGGGGTTGGTCTACGCCCCTTAGTTCCAGTGAAGGGATCTCTTCATGGGGGAGGCCCTTTTCTGTTCCAGCATGACTGTGCCCAAATCCATAAAGCAAGGTCCATAAAGACATGGTTGACTCAGTTTGGTGTGGAAGAACTTGTCACACGTCGAAGGGACAGAGCGGGAAAAGAGGAGCAGGAGTCCAGGGAGAAAACAAGCAGCAACACGGAGTAGCACATAGAACTGACATCAATGACTGGACTCGGGGAAACATACTCTAACACAGACTTAAATGCACAACAGCAAATCAACACGACTCAAAACAGCTGGTAACACAGGGATTCCACATGAAGTAGATGAGGGACTGTGGCACACAAGAGGATCGGCATGATCGGGGCATGACAATTGACTGCCCTGACCTCAACCACATCGAATACTTTTGGGATGAACTAGAATGGAGTTTGCGAACCAGGCCTTCACATCCAACATCAGAGCCTGACCTCACAAATGTTCTTCTGGCTGAATGGGCAAAAATACACAGATAGCTGCAGATTGTTATAGCTGCAAAGGGGGCCCAACTCCATATTGATGCCAATGGATTTAGAATGGGATATCTATAAAGTTCCTGTAGGTGTAATGGGCAGGTGTCCCAATACTTTTGTCCAGATAATATATAGGCAGTAGTAGTGACCTGAATGAACTTAAAGGTTTATGTGTCACCAGTGTGTGTTCTTTGTGTCTCACATAGGCTAGAACATCATCTGCTCCATGGAAGTGAGAGGTGCTGTGTTTGGAGTCAACTACTTAAACCATAACAACCCCTGTTGCATTTTAAGCACACATGATGTGGGAAGTTTATGGAAACATGAATGAATTCCAGAGCTTCTCCCCCGTTTTGCCCCATGTGTGGCATCTGAAAAGGGTTCCCCTATGCCTCCAACCATGAGCAGCGCCATAGATTCCAGATGTTCCAGTTGGCTGCAAAGTTACAATTGGTTGAAATAAAGTCAACACAAAACTGAATATTTTTAATTCACTGAATGGACATAGAATTGATTCATTACTACAATCAAATAATGTTTATATTGGTCACAAAGTTCTTCTAAATGCTGTCTCTAGAGAATTCTTTACACTTTGCAATTTTTCTGTGTATGTGCAGTAACAATATTACAATGCCATATCTCATTCACCTTCTGTGTTTACAGTCCATCTCAGTATCTTAATGGCAGGATGGCTGCAGAGAAGTTTTGGTGGAGGCGTATGTCAGGTTCAGCTCCTGTTGTTCCACTCTGTGTTCCTTCCCCATTTGGCCAGCAGGTGTTGCTGGTCATCCCATCCCTCCTGTTGTCAGTCTTTGTGCTTCGTTGAGCATGTGGTTGCCTGTGAACCCCTCTGTCTTGTGTTCGAATCCTGCTTCCTCTGTTTTTGTATTTTGTTCGTAGGGTTTCTTTTGTATCAGTTTAGTCCTGTGATTTTGTATTCAGTTTTGGTTGCTTGTGTTTGATCGGTTTTTGTTATTCCCAGTGTTAGATTCTGTTTTCCCTGTTTCTTGGTTAGTACTTAGTTTCCCTGTTTAGTTCCTTGAGTTAATTATTAGTTTCATCTGTTTTCCCAACCCTTGTTGATTAATCTCACCTGCCCTTTGTTAGGCTTGTTACCCCTCTGTATTTAAGTCCCTGCCTCTGTTCAGTTCCCCAGTGGTTCGTTGATTGTTGGATGTTTGTGAAGTTTGTATGTTACGAGAAGATGATGTGTGTTAGTTGTGTTTAGTTCTTTGCCTGCCTGCCTGCCTGCCTGCCTGCCTGCCTGCCTGCCTGCCTGCCT